GTAAAGAAAATAGCTGTAATTTTTTTTTTTAACTGATTAATTTCTGCAAAATGTATGAAGTAGAAAAAAAGAAGTCAGTTTTGGAATTAATTTATCTTGGCAAGAAAACATACTTTCAGAAGAAACGTTATTACCGGGGTATTTAGCAATGAAGTTTGTTAAGATTCTAATAAAAAATAAATGAACAATATAATTTTAATCATTTAATTTTTTGGCGAAAATAGGTACCATGTCTGAGAACTCTTTCCCATACTTTTTTTTTTTTAAATCACCAGTTTGTCAGTCGGGTTTAAGCTCTCTAAAGGTCTTTTTTCCTGCAGAATTGAAATGGTAAAGGATTTATGGCAAACCTTTCTTTTTTTCCGTGGGGGGTTTTGAGTGAAGCGACATTTTCCCACAAATGAAAATTAACAACATTTTATATCGATTGTAAAGCATAAGTTATAATTTATCTATGCATAATTAATAAGACATTCAACAAATTGCTTTATTTCCACGCGTAGTAGCCAAATTGGGTATGCTTTAATACCAAAAACTCAATTGCTTGCAGAATTTTAAAGTTTTCGTAGCATCACCACTCTCAGACATTCATGACAAATTATATTCTATATTATCCTTGACTTTTATCATCTTTAAATTGTGATGCGGCAATGAGTGATTGACATTATTAAAACAGATATATTGAGCAGTCAGTAGTAAGCAGTTTGCAGTAAGCAGATGACAGTGAGCAGTCGGTAGTCAGAGGTTGGTAGTAAGCAGCTGGCAGTGAGCGGTTGACAGTAAGCAATTGGTTATGAGCAGTTGGGAGTAAGCATATAGCAGTGAGCAGCCGGCAGTGAGTGGTTGGCAGTAAGCAGATCTATACAATGTAGCAGTGAGTAGTTGGCATCTAGAGGTTGGCAGTAAGCAGTTGGTAGCGAGAGGCTGGCAGTAAGCAGTTGGTAGCGAGAGGCTGGCAGAAAGCAGATAGAAGTAAGCAGTTGGCATTAAGCAGCTGCAGTAAGCAGTTGATTGTTATGGAATGCCATGTACGACAGCCAACGGCTTACTGCCAACTGCTGACTGCTTACTGCCAACTGTCAGCTGCTTACTGCTAACTGCCACACATATTTGAATAAATTTTATTTTATATTGATACTTATGTGAATTTTCAAAAACAAAAAAAAAAAACAAAACAAAAACAATAAAAATAAACAAGGCGCGGATCTAGAACATTTTTTCGAAGAGGGTCACTCATGTTAAAAAAAATCCAACCCAGAAATTTCTTGACAAGAAAAAAAAAACGTAAAGTCCTTTACTTAATGTGAAAATTTCTTTTGGCCGGGGAGAGGAGGTTCTCATGCGTCATACCTTCATGTCTATGACATTTTTTATACCAACTTAACACGAATCCGCGTTTTCGGACCGGGGGGGGGGGGGTTCTTAGGTCCCTTTTAGTTGATTTATTTTATACATTGAATAACTTTTAGTTGGTTTAGTTTGTGCATTAAATAACTACAGATAGATCCATGCATGTAAAACATATTTTATTTGTATAGGATTAAAAGCAGAAAATAGTCATTTTATTACCTATTTCAAATAAGAAAATAAAAATAAACAATGTACTTTATCAATGGCATATATTGAATATTACATAAATTAAAACACAATCATTTAGTCAGTTAATTTTACCAGGGTGACCTCTTGGAGAAAAGCAGTTTTCTTCTTCTTCTTCTTCTTGAAAATTCATATAAATGTCAATACAAATATGAAATTTATTCAAATATGTGTGGCAGTTGGCAGTAAGCAGCTGACAGTTGGCAGTAAGCATTTGGCAGTAAGCAGTTAGCTGTCGTATATGGCATTCCATAGATTGTCGCATAAAAAATACTTTTTTTAAAAAAAAAATGCATAGTTTATACCTCTCGTCCTTCATATACATGTATATTAAGTACCATCTGGGGTACTTCTAGATTGGGAAATATTTTTAATAATCTTTCTAAGAGGTTATTAGAGGATGTGTAAAAATGATTAAAAATTCTTAATTAAACTAGAGATCTTGTGAGCAATAAGTGATGCCCCCGCCTCCCACTTATGATTATAGTAGCAAAGACCATATTTTGCACTGGGAGACCCGAAATACATGTAAGTGTCAGATCAAAAAGTAAAATAGGAGGTACCCCTAACAAAAAAATACTATAGTTAACTATAGTTATAATACATCAAAGTGTCAAAGTTTTCGCCAAAGTTTTTCAAAGTGTCAAAGTTTTCGCCAAAGTTTTTCAAAGTGTCAAGGTTTTCGCCAAAGTTTTTCAAAGTGTCAAAGTTTTCGCCAAAGTTTTTCAAAGTGTCAAAGTTTTCGATAAAGTTTTTCAAAGTAATAAAGTTTTTGATAAAGTTTTTCAAAGTGTCAAAGTTTTCGATAAAGTTTTTCAAAGTATCAAAGTTTTCGATTAAGTTTTTCAAAGTATCAAAGTTTTCAATAAAGTTTTTCAAAGTATCAAAGTTTTCGCCAAAGTTTTTCGAAGGGTAGTGGCCAACTTCCTTTCACTTTCAATTTTTTTGCCAAACAATACTACATTTCCTTCATATCACTATACTGTGGCAAGAAGTGGGGGAATGGGAGGCAACCAACCTTTCAATGGACGTGCCTGACTTGAGACGTTGATACTCTGTACAAAATCCTGTTGCAACTTTATAAAATGTCTGTTTCAGTTAAAACTTGAACATCATTATACAGAAATAGACTTTCAGTGTCTTTGTCTTATATCTAACAGAGCAAGCATACGTGGAATTGTATCCACCGATACATTACAAAGTCTTTGAAAAGGCGAGGAGGGTTTCCTATATATGTATAACGACAATATATAGTAAACTTTAGAAAACGAAGCATTTATAACGATGTAACACTCCCAATAATCATGGTTGATGACCTGTCTTCCTTCTCTCTCTCTCCAAAAATTTTGTGCGTTTGAAGTCAGTGAAGATCAAAATTGAAGTACACTGTATTAGCAATAATCGGGGTCAAACAGACGCTGTTATTGCTACTTTTTTCGAGTAGGCACTTCAAACATTTTTTCGAGTAGGCACTTCAAAAATTCTTACAACTTGATATAAGATGCCATATAAGACTCGTATATGTTAAGTAACTTCTCGGTGAAGGGTTTTATAGCTGCTCCTCGTATGCATTGTTAGTAGTATATTTACATCCACTGAATATTTTCTTCTTTATTTCTTAAGAAAACCCATTGCGTTCATCCCTGCATAAACTACATTAGGCATATCACCTGTACAGATTTCTTGATCAGTGGCCGTTCCATCAATGAAACGTACAAAGACGGCATCATTAACACAATAATTAATATTTTTAATCCTACTTAAAATGATAATTTAAACAGATATAAATATAAACAATAAAATGTTATTGATCATATACATGCAGTGTATTGCAGAAAAAAATTACATAACCCGCTTACGCGGGTTAAAGTGTTATGATTGAAGCATAACTTAATTAATAAATATCCAGTAGACAAAAATTGAATCAGATTAGAGTGGAGGGTTATTGATCATATACATGTAGTGTCTTTCCGCATTTTTCTTGAAAATTAACATGTAAAATAAAGTGCTATAAATGAAGCATAACTTAAATAATAAATTTGCGAGAAGACATTATGTTTTGAAAAAAGTATAGGGGCATAAAAAAAATGACAACTCATCTGAAAAAAATAAATATATTATATCTTTCATCAGCTACAATATGTAAAATTAATTTTCTTTATAAAGAGGATACACTAGTATAGCTCTGTTACAACGCGCTTTGAAAAATTACGCACAATTTTCAAAGTGCGTTCAATCTGGGACCAAGTTAATGCACTTTGAAAAAATGATATATTTTAAAAATTTTAAAGTACAATAATATGGACCACTTTAACGCGCTTTGAAAAAAATGTGCATGACGTAGTCAATATCATGGCAAATCTAAGATATGATAAATACTGTAGTTATTTGAACCTGGTTGGATAACTTTTCGATGATGCTCTCTCTTTAGTATCTGAGATAGACGTTTTACATCTGTCTCTTCGGGGTACAAGAAATGCGACAAAATGGAATCCAAGTGTGTTTGCTCATTGAAAATAATTTTCCAACACAAAATGATTTGTCTTTTTAAGTAATAAGAAATGATTATTCCCGCGCAAGATGATGGCTTTTTAAAAGAGTTTTTTAAACAGATTAGTACTAAGATGTATGAGAAAAAATATTTTATATTGATTTTGGAAAGTAGTTATGGCCAAAGTATATTGTCTGTTGTTGTTTAGATCAATGATATTGCCTATATAGCTCTGCATGAGCAGTGAGCATCTCTTCTAGAATACAATGGGGTGCGTCAAGTTATTTTTTTCAGTTTCAAAGTACGTTTCCAAGCCATGATGGATTGTATTTTGGGGGAATAGTTTTATTTAATTCCGAATAAATGAAACGTGTACATTTTAATTTTCCACTCCTATATAATTGTATAATCCTACACATGTGCATCATCATAAAGAAACCCCGGATTTACTATTCTTATTAATTGTAATGACTGTACTGCGGCTAACTAGTACGATATATTATATCTAATTTATATTTTGATTTATATAGCAATGTATTTTAATTATTTATTTTTCAATATCCATTTTTTTTACCTTACAATACCATATTTCCTTCATATTATACTTTAGTATAAAGATGTTTAATGTTAAGCCTTTTTTTTCACCCTTTTGTTTTTTATATATATATACACACGCATAAAAATTCACTCATAAATTTTAAGTATTTGTAATTAGATGAAAGAAAAATAATCTACCGTTGACAGCCTTTAACCGACAAGTGATTAACCAGTCAGAAAAAAAACATTTTACCTTTTTTTTTTGCCCCCATCATCTCTGGGTAATGTATTTTTTCTGAATATATATAATTATATTTCTTGATGTGCTTGATCCCGAACCAAAAATTATAATCGGGCTCGGAAGACAGAAAATATTTTGTTTATCAACAATCAGCCGAGTCCAGAGGGTGTCACCAAGACCTTTTTACAATCCGTATAAGCATGAAAAAGTGTAAGTTTGTAGGAGATTCATGCAATTTCTTATTTAATATATTAAGGACAAAATACTTCTTTAAATAAATGACAAATTGTTGAATAATTATATTGACAACTTGTGTCCATTGTCCATCCGAAATCATGACTGCAAGAGTGTCGAGATCTGCCCAAGAATGTTTAGTTTACACTTGAAAACAGTTCAAAGTAAAACATTATACCTCTTGGCCTCTAAAATGACCACTTCTTATTGTTTATAATTACTATCGTAGACATTGATGAATTCATTCTCTTGGCAGTATGGGTCAGGTCTGGTACAATCACTAGATTTAGCTACGTACATGTAGGTAGAATTACCTACGTAGCTTTATTAGGTAGCTTTATTTAACTATTTCAATGAAACTTTTCACAATTTTTCTTTTTAGCTAAATAAAGCATATAGGTAAATGAACAGGTAAATCAAGCTACATAGAATGTAGAAATGTTAAAATGATATTGTCCTATGACCCGGTTTAACGATAAATTCGTTCCATATATTATAATGTAGCAAAAGAAACATGGGCGAAGTTAGTACTCACTATAACTCAGTAAATTTACTACGAACCTAGAGAGTTCTGAATGTAAACATGGCAGGTAAATTTCAAAAAATTGAAAATTAATTGGTAAATTTGGATAAAAGGCATAAGCAATCTCAAAAAGGTTTGTTTTGATTAATTTGGTAGTTATTTCCAGTGCAAATCCTTTTATATTCTTCAGAATCGTTTAGCTCCGATTTGCTACATTGCAAGTATATGGGACGTATTCTAACTGTGGTGAGGGCTTGTACCGAGACACAGTTAGATCATTCTAACTAAGCTAAATCTAGTGATTGTACCAGACCTGTGGGTAGCATGTAAATGGTTAAGTACATCGTTCAGTCGCATATTTGAACATGCTGAATGTAGAATGTTCAAATATGCGGCTAAATTATATAAAATAATGGAAAGTAGGCCAACTCAAAAAATTGGGGTAAATTTTGGAATACTCTAGCACAAATTAGCCCCTTCACGATAACTGCGGTACTTCTCTTTTGCAGGGAAATGAATAACGTTTGGCGAAGTTTTTGTTGATAGATAATTAAATGACGTACATAAGACAATTACTTATATGTCATATTTCGCCAAAATATATGTCATTTTGCCTGCAAAAAACTAGTACCACAGTTATCGTGAAAGGGTCTATTTGGTAAGGCATGCATGATTCAAAGGGGATCCAGATCTATGGAAAATTAAAATTTATTTAGTACGTTGACATAGTAGAATAATTAAAACTTGGCCTCAGACCTCTTCCTTTTGCGATTTGAGCCAACACCTTCTAGGGAAAAATTTCTTGATCCACCCTACAAAAAATTACAATCGGGCTCAGCCTTTCAACTTGAATATAAGTGATAATGGTTAAATTAAAAAGAAATTGATGTCATTTGAGTGTTTTAATGCAGGGAGAAAATACTTTTGTGATATTGGGATGAGTTGGGTGCGTTAGTGCGCTGACACACTGAATAAAATTAACCAATTTGGGAGTAGACATACTAACATGGTTAAATGATGAACAGTACTAGGGTGGCGTGGTGGTCAGACAAGTTTTATTGCAGGTGACCCAATAGCTCGGTCTGAAGAACACCTGAGTTACACATTGCTTCATGCCTATTTATTATGAATTAAGGGCTATAATGCTATATTTAAAATATTCAGAAAGGAAACCCAAATTTTTATATACATCAACATTAATTTTAAAATTAATGAACTTAAATTTACCAGTATCAATACAGTTAAAAGTACATATGCCATATTATAACAATTTTACCTTTATTCTTACAATTATCTCAAAGATAAATATCATTGAAGTCATTAAATATGAAATTATCATTTTTTGAGAGGAAGTACTTAATTTAACTTTTGATGATGTCAGATACATGACTTTTCAATTAGTTTAGCCTTGAAGGCTTTTGATACACAAAGCTACATAAAGTACATGAATTTTATTGTTGTATTTACTTTTCACAGGTGTACTATGATCATTTGTGAGAGCTAGTTGGTGGCCAGGATACATTTATGTGATCCAGGATTCTAAAGAAAGTCATCTTATTATGTCCCATAAACATGATAAACGAAATCTAAATTGAGAACACAATGCAACTAGACATAGTACTTTATGAGACAGGAAATTATTTAGAAACATGGTAAATACCTGGAGTTTCTGATTAAGTGAAATAAACATCTTAGAAAGGAAAAAAAACTAGGATTGTGGGAATCTTTGTCCTTCATGCTGCGACACACAAAAACCAAGGCTTCAAGGTAAGTGTAAAACAAGGAAATAGATATCAGAGAAAAAAGTCTTCGATTTCAATCATCATGTACATATATGCATACAGCTGTGTATTGTGTAGCAAACAGAATTAGCCCACAAGGAATGGATGATTAATTACATGTACCATGTATGGTTGCATATAGAATAAATTAAGTCACAGACTGTTGATGGTAAATGTTCAAATGAAACACCTTTCACGGAACCTCTTTTTCAAGGAAATAAAATTAGTATTTGACCTTTAATTTCTCATGCACTGCTGACAGTTGAGTTTGGACATCCAGCTTGTCTGTATTTGATTTGTTAACAGTGTTGTCCCTAAGACCCTGGGGCCTGGGAATTTCCCCTCCTATAATGTATTAATGGCATAACCCCCCTTCCCCCTGATTACTTTGATATTCCTTCTCTCTCTCTCCACTGCTAGGAGAGGAACCCCAGAACCCCTTCTTCTCTTTCAATGCCCCCTGCTATTTATAAATTTTTAGGGACAGCCCTGGTTGTATAAGAGTTTTGTGTTACTATGTGACATGACGATTTGTTTTATCGGAATTCTGTAATATCTGTTATAGTGTGACATGACGATTTGTTTTATCAGAATTCTGTAATGTCTGTTTTAGTGTGACATGACGATTTGTTTTATCAGAATTCTGTAATATCTGTTATAGTGTGACAAATTTGTTTTATCAGAATTCTGTAATGTTTGTTTTAGTGTGACATGATGCTGTAATATCTGTTATAGTGTGACATGACGATTTGTTTTATCAGAATTCTGTAATGTCTGTTTTAGTGTGACATGACGATTTGTTTTATCAGATTCTGTAATGTCTGTTTTAGTGTGACATGACGATTTGTTTTATCAGAATTCTGTAATGTCTGTTTTAGTGTGACATGACGATTTGTTTTATCAGAATTCTGTAATGTCTGTTTTAGTGTGACATGACGATTTGTTTTATCAGAATTCTGTAATATCTGTTATAGTGTGACATGACGATTTGTTTTATCAGAATTCTGTAATGTCTGTTTTAGTGTGACATGACGATTTGTTTTATCGGAATTCTGTAATATCTGTTATAGTGTGACATGACGATTTGTTTTATCAGAATTCTGTAATGTCTGTTTTAGTGTGACATGACGATTTGTTTTATCAGAATTCTGTAATGTCTGTTTTAGTGTGACATGACGATTTGTTTTATCAGAATTCTGTAATGTCTGTTTTAGTGTGACATGACGATTTGTTTTATCAGAATTCTGTAATGTCTGTTTTAGTGTGACATGACGATTTGTTTTATCAGAATTCTGTAATATCTGTTATAGTGTGACATGACGATTTGTTTTATCAGAATTCTGTAATGTCTGTTTTAGTGTGACATGACGATTTGTTTTATCTGAATTCTGTAATATCTGTTATAGTGTGACATGACGATTTGTTTTATCAGAATTCTGTAATGTCTGTTTTAGTGTGACATGACGATTTGTTTTATCAGAATTCTGTAATGTCTGTTTTAGTGTGACATGACGATTTGTTTTATCAGAATTCTGTAATGTCTGTTTTAGTGTGACATGACGATTTGTTTTATCAGAATTCTGTAATGTCTGTTTTAGTGTGACATGACGATTTGTTTTATCAGAATTCTGTAATGTCTGTTTTAGTGTGACATGACGATTTGTTTTATCAGAATTCTGTAATGTCTGTTTTAGTGTGACATGACGATTTGTTTTATCGAAAATCTGTAATTTCTGTTTTAGTGTGACATGACGATTAGTTTTATCGAAAATCTGTAATGTCTGTTTTAGTGTGACATGACATGACGATTTGTTTTATCAGAATTCTGTAATGTCTGTTTTAGTGTGACATGACGATTTGTTTTATCGAAAATCTGTAATGTCTGTTTTAGTGTGACATGACGATTTGTTTTATCGAAAATCTGTAATGTCTGTTTTAGTGTGACATGACGATTTGTTTTATCGAAAATCTGTAATGTCTGTTTTAGTGTGACATGGCTGAGGAAGAGGAGAGAGGATCCAGTTCAGCAGTGGCTGGTGGACATTCGCTGGGCCTCGGAGATGGAGTGTATGAATATACTACAGGGGAAATCCATAGTCCAGAGCGTGGAGAAGTCAGCATTCCACACATCACACATAAAAGGTGGGTTGTATTTTTGTTTTTTACGTCCCTCTAGAGAATTTTAATTTCATATTTGACACCACCATTTTTAAATTTTTATACTTGTCACTCAGGGCCATTGAGCAGTAAGGCATCTTTTTTATGCCAGCATACGCCTACTGTGACACGAGACCTTAGCTAGTTCATTTGGTCTCATCCTAATGAACAGCCTCCATGTCCCCCAGTGAGATTCAAACTCATGACATAATGATCAAACTCCTTACTCCACCACAAGTATATCATGTATATAGAGCTTTTAGAATTTGGGCTTCTATAAGGCTGATATAGGCTCTATCAAATTTCATACACATAGTTACATGTATCATCTATTTGTGGTCCCATTGTTGGTAATGTACAGCAATAAACATGATTTATAATGTACTGTATTAATTGACTTCCATTTAGGTTGTTTGATAGACAAAATGTTACTGTTTATGTTTGCCTCAAGCACCTGCAATAACAATCATCGGGAACTATATTCTACACCACTTAGAGAAAAACCAGTTTAGATCTGTATTTGACATTTTTATTTTGATCTTCCAACTATTAAAAGTAATTCAATTAAATAAACAAAGTTAAAGGCATTTTTAGTTTTAAACATGTGAAAGTAAAAGTTACATTATGCAATTTGATTTATAATATATTACATCTAAAACAAAGCTGAAACTAATCTAACAAAAAAGATCCGTGTATAAACATGATTTATGTGAATTAAGTCTTTTATAGAGTCATCTCAAGGATAATTAGATTATAGTATAATACATTCAATGTCTCACTGTATATTAGAGGTTTATGCAGGTACTTGATCATTCAACATCTTCAATAGATAAGTCAAGATAACTTATGTAGAAAATCCCAAGTAAATTAATGTAAGTCATATGGGATTCTATGAAAAAAAAACTATTTATATACATGGATTCTATGAAAAAAATAACATTATTCATATACATTCATGTAAAATTTTTATCGATAATATCTTTGATAAGTAATCATTTATTTAATTGATTGTCTCTCTTATAGACTTTAAGTATTAGAGTTTGACCTCTGTTATAGGTGCTATTGATGTCGTGAAGAATGAGTCTAATGACATCAGCGGAGAATTTTCTGTCCTGTTCAAGTAAGTTTTTTTTAATTAATTTACATGTGTGTATATGCATATAAAAACAGAAACAAATCTCTAAACTGATTACATGGGATTGTGGGAATTTGAAATAAAAACACTTTTTAAAGAATAACATTTAAAAAAAAAATCTTTTGATAAGACATGAAGAAGTGTAACATGTAAACTGTAAGTGTGTTAAGATTTAAAATATTTTATACAAATCAAATAAATTTTAAGCCAGAAATTTAAATAACTTTTAGATAAATTATTATGAGGTCAATACTTGTACTATTAGTATTATTGTACAACTTCAATGCCTTTTTTCATAAGTCATGTGAATGTTTTGATTAGTTTGTATTCTGATTTCAAAGTATATCATTATCAGATTTACATACGAACAAGGATATTGTGAATTCACGCATAAAGCGAAGTTATTTTTGATCCCAAACTATATAAATTTAACAAATTTCTTATATGGATATAACGAATTACGAATATAACAAAGTAATTTCATACATGTAGGTCCCAGTGACTTTGTTATAACTGAGTTTTACTGTACATGTACCTGTACATGTATTTACTAAATAAAATGGCTTTATAACTATAGTATACATTACCTCACATTTTTTGTACACACTATTACTTTGATTTCACTTGAAAGCTTATTCCATTTATAGACTGGTTGAAGCTGAGAACTGGTCTGCTGTCCAGACATTTACGATACAGCTGACTTGTCACGTGAGGGGACTCATTCAGGACTGTAACCAGACCACTCCAAACCCTCCACTTCATATCCTAGAGGTCAGTCTAATATACCGGGAGACCAACCCCCCTCCCCCCCAACCCCCTCCACATCCTAAAGGTCAGTATAATGTAACAGGATCAAACCCTCCCCTACACATCCTAGAGATCAGTCTAATGTAATAGGGTCAAACCTCCCCTACACATCCTAGAGGTCAGTCTAATGTAACAGGGCCAAACCCTCCCCTACACATACTAGAGGTCAGTCTAATATAACAGGGCCAAACCCTCCCCTACACATACTAGAGGTTAGTCTAATTTAACAGGGCCAAACCCTCCCCTACACATCCTAGAGGTCAGTCTAATATAACAGGGCCAAACACTCCCCTACAAATACTAGAGTCGGGCATATTTAACAGGGCCAAACCCTCCTCTTTACATCCTAGAGGTCAGTCAAACGTAACAGGGCCAAACCCTCCCCTACACATCCTAGAGGTTAGTCAAACTTAACAGGGTCAAACCCTTCCCTACAATCCTAGAGGTGAGTCTAATTAAACAGGGCCAAACACTCCCCTACACATCCTAGAGGTCAGTCTAATTAAACAGGGCCAAACACTCCCCTACAAATACTAGAGGTCAGTCAGATATAACAGGGCCAAACCCTCCTCTACCCTACATAACCTAGAGGTCAGTCTAATGTAACAGGGCCAAATCCTCACCTACACAACCTAAAGGTAAGGCAAAAACAGGACCAAGGTAGGATTCTTCTCACACAAATTAAAACTATATTTCATGTATTTAAAAATTAATGAAATTTTCACAGAATCAAGAAGACAATATTACTAAGTGATGGTATCAGTTAGATTAGTTTTGACTGTTTTATATTAGAGTCTAGGTCAGGTCAAGGTCATTACCTTTTCTCTGGACATTAATAATAAAAATAACTGCATCCAATCATGCGATAGGGTATTCTATTTTATTTAAAGGATTAAATATTTTTCTTTTTGCATAAAATGATATTACCATATAGGGTCTATAAGATGACATTAAATTGACACTATAATCTAACAAAAATGGATTTTGGCTAATCCAGATTTTCTCTATTTTTCGTAAATTTTTAGGATATTTAAATTATTCTTATATGCAGCACCTTATATTTAAATTTTTCTTATTTTCACATATGGTAAATGGGTCATATAAAGATTGATACAAAATGATACACAAACAAAAAGTTTTGACCATTTACTAAGAGAGTAAAAACACTTTCTATCAATTTTTGGCTCATATCTGTACTTAGATTGGAAGCTTTCAAATGCTAACATAATTGTAGTTTATTTAGAAAATCATATTTATTTGATATATTTTAAAACTTTAGTCCCTTATTATTATTAATTAAGGTCTTCCGTTTTCAACGGAAGACCTTCTACTGATTCTGTTGGTAAAGATTATTATTCTTTTTTTTTTTCTTCTACCTTCCTAGACGCCAACTTCAAAGCCTCATATCTCACTCATTTCTCAATTGATTTCGCTCAAATTTTCAGAGGTACTAGAAGTTACTAAACTCTATCAGAATGTTGTCTTAAATTTCAAAAAGTCACTTCCGGTTTTGAGTATTTTCCCTTTTAACGAAAATTTATAGGCTTTCGTTTCCAGACAAAGGCTCAGAGAGAGAGAGAGAGAGAGAGAGAGAGAAGATTGAAGTTGTGCACATCGGTTTTTGTTTTTCGATTTCTCTATTGAAAATGGCGCTATAGAGAGAGAGAACGCCTGAAAGAGCGAAAATTTACACATATTTTGCTTTTTATCTTCTAAACTAAAAATATTTTGTTAAAACATATAAAACAAAATTTGTGCAGAATTGAAAGATCTTTCAAATGATATCTCGAAAAAAGGGCTGACCCCTAAATTAAGGGATCTAGAGGGGCCAAAAGTTTTTTAATATCAAAAATATGAGAATTTGTAATATGTCCAAGAAGCAAAGTTGTTCAAACTGTCAAAATATTGAAGTCATCAAAATGTGCGACGTCACTTATTTTGTCGTCAAAAAATGCACATTTTTGCCGTTCGTGACAAGTTTTTGGGTAACATATGTCACTGGAAACATAAAACTTAATTTTCCGTCCGTCAACATCACTTCCGGTCAAACCGGAAGTAGCCAAAAATAGCTTATTTTTAAAGGTTTTGATGCAAAATTGAAAGTATAAAGTGACTGGAGAAGACTTAGCTCATTGCTTTCTTTTGTTGACGTCACTTCCGGTCAAAACAGGACGGAAGACCTACTCGTTGCTTTGCAACGAGCTTTGCTCTAGTTTAGCTAACATTTGAAAAATTCTTCAAGTCTTTGATTGTGTAAAAATTATAACTAAATTCATTGTTCTATAATAATTTTGAGAGGCAGAAAAGAAGATATTTTCATACGCTACCATTCTGCCAAAATATAGTCCCTGCTAGTTTTCGAACACAATTTACCATTTCTATTTAAAGTTGTACAATTGTGATGAGGAAAGAAAAATATGGTCTTTTAAATCTCTTTCACCTAAATATATGAGACATACATGTATAAGCAAATATACATTGAACATTTCATCTATTCAGAAACCAGAGAAGAATCCTACCTTAACATACTGGAGTTTATTAGCTCACCTGAGCCGAAGGCTCAAGTAAGCTTTTCTGATCAAAATTTGTCCGTTGTCTGTCGTTGTCGTAGTCGTTTTCGTCGTCGTTGTCGTAAACTTTTCACATTTTCATCTTCTTCTCAAGAACCACTGGGCCAATTTCAACCAAACTTGCTACAAAGTATCCTTGGGTAAAGGGGTCAAGTTTGTTCAAATGAAGGGCTACACCCTTTTCCAAGGGGAGATAATTATGAATTAGAGAAAAATTAATGGCATTTTTAAAAAATCTTCTTCTCAAGAACCACTGCTCCAGGAAAGATGAAACTCATGTGGAATCATCCTCAGGTAGTGTAGATTCAAGGTTGTTCAAATCATGACCCCCGGGAATAGGGTGGGGCCAAAATAGCCGACCCAAGTTTTACATAGGAATACATATAGGAAAAAACTTTAAAAATCTTCTTCTCAAGAACCACTGGGCCAGGAAAAATGAAACTCATGTGGAATCATCCACAGGTAGTGTAGATTCAAGTTTGTTCAAATCATGACCCCCGGGAATAGGTTGGGGCCAAAATGGCCGACCCAAGTTTTACATAGGAATATATAGGAAAAATCTTTAAAAATCTTCTTATCAAGAACCACTGGGCCAGAAAAGATAAAACTCATTTAAAATTATCCTCAGGTAGTGTAGACTTAAATTTGATCAAATCATAACCCCCTGGTCTAGGGTGGGGCCAAAATGGCAGATCAAAGTTTTACATACGGATACCTTTTAAAATCTTTTCAAGTACTTCAAAGCCATGATTAGTGATATTTATATTGAATCATCCTCAGGTAGTGTATACTCTAGTTTGTTCAAATCATGAACCCCTGGGGGGGGGGGTTAAAATTCAAGCCCCCCCCCCCACCTCGGTAAACTTTCAGTTCTTATCTGATATGTGCTTTTTCCATGCCGATGTGCTCAGGTGAGCGCTGTGGCCCCTGGGCCTCTTGTTCTAATTTGTAGAAGGGGTTCTGCTTTGAGGTATTATTTGAACACTTAAGAGTTTAAGAATGAATGGTTACAGAATATCTTTCCATAATATTAAACAATGAAGCTCATAATAGGTTGTGGAAATGATGATTAGTAAACTACTTATTTTTAGAATGTAATTATTATGTATAATAAATCTTTTCATTTCAGCAACAAGAAGTTGTGATGGGAGAATGTGCCAAACTTGCCCAACAAGTAGAAAGGTTAGAGAAAGAGAGAGATTGGGATAGAAAGATAGAGAGATATTGCACATAAAGATAGACAAAACAAGAGAGAGAGAGAGAGAGAGAGAGAGAGAAAGAGAGATATAGATAGATCAAGAGAAAGAGAGAAACCAAAAAGTAGCTTTTCAACCTTCTATAAGTATCAGTATTTTACTTGTAACAAATAATGTTTAAATATCTAGTAATTCCTTTGAGTTAAAAGGTATTTTTCTCCCTAATTGCTTTGTGTATTTCAAGAACAAAAAGATAACTGTAGAGGACAGGTGTAATTAAGTTTCAATGAGCAAGATACAGTTTATTTGCTTATTGTTATAATACTTGTATTGACTCGGCCTTTGTTTATTTCTGCAGTGCCTTTATTGACTCGGCCTTTATTCATTTCTTTAGTGCCTTTATTAACTTGGCCTTTATTTATTTCTGCAGTGCCTTTATAGACTCTGAGAGCCAGTGCCCCTCAAAGATCCCGGTCATTAACCAGCTGACCTTCCTCGGTCAGTCCTTTAGCCGCCTCGTGGACCTCTGTCTCGGCTACCTGGTGCAGGTTAGTACATTTACACATTTCCTTTGAACTTGCAATAAAAGTGAAATATATTCCATTATGTATGAATAACATATTCAATTTCATTTGAACTTTGGTATCTCAAACACCTGCCTGTAACTGGAATACCCTGGATATTTGAAATAATTTGGAAGTTCCAAGTTTACCACTTCAAGTTTAAATATTTTACTCTTGATATGTATTGTATGTATTTTGAATCTTCAGAAATCTCGAAGTTTTTCTTAGTTTCATTGAGTTAGTTATAACCAGGTTTGTCTGCGTGTTTACATGTATAAATACTTGCAAAAGACTTATCTATAAAATAAAAGATATAAAAATAAATGAATGAAAACTTGACTTATATTCATTTAGTGTATTGAAAGCCTGTTTGACATTCTTTGACATTAAGACTGATATTATTTTTACAGAAAATTGTGGACATCTTAGATGAAGCTAATGACCCAATGGTGCTGTCTCAGGCCATAGGGTGTAATAGCATTTAGGAGAGATTATATAGCCAGAAATATTAATAATTCGTAAAGTGATTTTAATACATACACATTAATTTTGTTATGTCTTGGTAGTTGTTTTACTTCATACACATGTATACATGTATTTACAGGCTTTCAGGATGTTTAAAATCGTTAAAGGGGGGATAATTTTTTTTAACCATCCTAATTATGAATGAAATACATTATATTAATGATGTTCAATAATTTAAAACAGGTTAAAGTTTGTGATTTTATATTATTTTTAGGAAGGAAAATTGTTGGACATCTTAGAGAGAAGCTGAGATTTTGACCCAGTCTCTGGCCACCATCAGCTGTGTCACCGAAAGCTTGTTTGAAATAGAAAAGGTAGGAATCAATTATACATTAATGTTTAGTGAACAGTTTATTATAGTGTATTGGAGGCAGAACCATCAGTTTGCTAAATAATAATTTGTCACTTAATTCATTTATTTACATATTAAATAACTTTTATTAGCTCATCGGAATAAGAGTGATTTTAATACATACACATTAATTTTGTTATGTCTTGGTAGTTGTTTTACTTCATACACATGTATACATGTATTTACAGGCTTTCAGGATGTTTAAAATCGTGTTCAAAAAGGGGGGGATAATTTTTGTTAAAAATTAATTGCATTTTTAAAAAATCTTCATCCTAATTAGGAATGAAATACATTATATTAATGATGTTCAATAATTTAAAACAGGTTAAAGTTTGTGATATATTATATCTTTAAAAATCTTCTTTTAGGAAGGAGGAAAGATGATGTGGCCTTGTTAGACATTTGTAGGACAGAGAACAAAATGAGATTTTGTCAGGAATATATAGAAAAATCTCTAAAAATCTTCTTCTAGAACCACCATCAGCTGTGTCACCAGGTAAAGCTTGTTTGAAATAGAAAAGGTAGGAATCAGTTATACGTTAATGCTTAGTGAACAGTTTATTATAGTGTATTGGCAGAACCATCAGTTTGCTAAATAATAATTTGTCACTTAATTCATTTATTTACATATTAAATAACTTTTATTTATTTTTTGCGGAAAAAAAACAATTCTAATTCATTTTTCCCAATTCTAGCACAGTGCTTGGTAGAAAAATGACAATCCCTCAAGTTGTACATTGTACATAATTTTATTATTTTTAAGACTAAAATACATGTACATGATGTTAATTCTGTTCATCAAAGCAGCTCTTTACGTTTGTATTTGTATTTTTTTTTAATTTAAAATTTGTTGCTTATGCTATCTTTACAGGAGGGAGGAATGTGGTGTTTACTTGACCTTTTGTCTGACCCTGAGGTCAGGGAGTCAGTGAGAGGTGAAGTAGCAGGGGTCATAGCTCAAGTTACCTCCCCCTGTCTAGAGAATGCCCACCAGATGTCAGGCATGATGGACAATATGGAGGACCTGCTTGTCAATCTTCTTGGTAATAATTTTTAATCAGCATGGATGGTTATAAAGTTTATAAAAGTCAGATATTTCACTTAAGGCTGACTTTAAAATGAATTTGTTTGCCCTCTCCAGACTAAGGATGAAAAATTATGTTCTGTAGATGAGTGGAAATTTTTTTTTTTTTTTTTTCAAAAAAAAAAAAAATCAAAATCAGTGCTGAAATTACAAAATATATTTTCCAGAATGTATTAAAAAGATATTTTTTTCCTTGAGGTTGAAAAAAGTTTTGAATCGGGCCTTTGTTACATGCAGTTGGTTGGGAGAGGGCACCCTTACATATTCTCAAATATGGCCTTACTATAGTTATTTTTCACATTTTTTCTAAAAAAAAATGACTTGGATAAATAACACAAAAACTTTTTTTTCTTTAGAAATCAGCAATATTTTTCACAGATCTAATTACAGGCAAATCTATTTTCAATGCAAAATTTGTATGGAATTGCATATTAAAGCAAAGACTGCTTAAGATTTTTCTCTATATCTTACGGATTAATTATTTATGTTATTTCCTTTCAAAAAAATTATATCAATATCAATTCAAGCATAAAAATTTTGTTTGTGTTATGTATCCTTAATAAGTTAAATATTCACAAGTCGGCCAATCATCGCCCGATCGTCGAGCTCTGAGCTACAGTTTGATTTTTGTTACATGTAGTCAGTTGGGAGAGGACAACCTTACATATTCTCAAATATGGCCTTACTATAGTTATTAATCATACAACACCTCTCTATCTTGTTACAGGTTTGTGTAGCTCTACAAAAATCGAGGAAATCTTTCTTTTGTCATCTGCTGCCATTGCCAACATGACATTTATGGACAGCAGTACATGTGAAATCCTGCAGAAAATCCAAGCTCCCAGAATTCTCTGCTCTTCCTGTCAGTCGAACATTGCTAAATCTCTTTTCTCTAAGGACCAGGTAGGAACATACATGAGTTGTGATTAGAGTTTTAGTTTAATGCATGAGAAGTTTTGCCCAGATAAATATAAGTTTGTCCTAGTTACCATTAATTACCATTAGTTTAATAATAACATTTACATAACTTTATTGAAATGAATGTCAGACTTTGTTTCATGAAGTTTTTCTAATATACAAGATTAAAATAAAAAAAATATTCTAATGAATTGAAGAAAAAAAAGGGAAAAAATGTTTGTTTTCTTTCCCAAATCACTTGAACATTTTATTATAATTTAAGAATGCATTTTTCAGTGTTTTTTAAAACTTGTGTAAACTTGTAGTCTTGTACTAAACATATTTTAACTTTTCCAAAAAACTTTCAGAACATTAGAAATAGTATGTTGCATTATAGAAGAATTAGTGCATTACATTGTATAATATGTTTAGAAAAGTATACTTTCTAGACATTTTCATGTACTAAATGAACTACATGAAATACATCATGCGACAACATATTGATCTGTATGTAGGTAGCTACAATTCTGGCAAACATGGTTGCTGTCGACGTCTGCCGGCAGGACGTGGTCAGTAACGGTGGTATAGACATATGTCTGGAGTTACTGCATGAGAGTCCACTGGATTATAAAACACCAGCGGAAATCGCAGCTTGTGAGAGAGTCCAGCAGAAAGCTGCCATTGCTTTAACCAGGATGTGTAGGGACGAGAGTAATGCTGCTACCATAGTCAAAGCCAAAGGTATAAATACTGGAACTTTGATAAGACTGGAAATAATAAACTGTTATCTAGAAAATAAAAGTAAAAAAGCTGTGCATAATATGACAGTCTGGATTACTCCAATTTTCAAATACTGTGAACCAAATGATATTCACATGGAAGAAATACATGTTTTGGTAACCTCTTAGACTTGGTTTCTGTGATTATGTTTTACTGTAAATATTCTTTTTAAGGAGTTCCGCGCCTGATTAAGCTGTGCAGAGACAAACAAGAGAGAAGTAATAGTGATGCTGTACTTGTGGCCTGCTTAGTAAGTCCTTAAAAATTCTCTAAAGTCCTTTAGTATCAAGAAAAAAAATTATTTTTGGAAATTTTGCATCGTTTGGGAAATTTAGATTTTTTTCTTAGCTAAAAGTACATTTGGATATTTACTTTTGCTTAGCAGAGTTCAGATGACAGAAATTTATTTATTCATCTGAATGAATTTGCATCTGGAAGGTTCTAATTATTGAATAAAATATAGGAAGTTTAAAATTTTTATATTAATATGTATTGCATTTAATGATCCTCAAGTTGCAGGATTAGATAATATGTTTTCATTTGTTAAAATAGTATATTAATAAATACAGAAGTTAAAATATTTGCCTTATAATTTAGGCATACAATAATATAATTTCAAAGATTTTAGATGAAGAATGCATATTATTCAATTGTATTTCATCGATTTTTTGTATTTTAAGGCCGCTCTGCGGAAGATAAATTCCCTGAACAAACTTGAGGACTTGAGTGCTATAGATAACCAGCAGCTGATCCAACCCAAACTGATGGATTCATTTCTCATCTGCACCAACACTGATGAAAATTTTGTATGAACCTGTAGGAACACTGATGAAAATTTTGTATGAACCTGTAGTTACAGTATAGTACATGTATAAGGCTCACCTTTGCACAATTACTAATTAAACCTTAAAAAGGACAGTATTAAAAACGAAACACAGTTGTCCCCCCTCATTTCTTGCTGCAATTACAAAGTTCAATCCAACCAAGATAAACTGTAATTTGTTGTGAATTTTTTAGTTACAATGTATGAAGCTTGATGTGTTCTTTAGATATTTTAGTCACTTTGTGTTCACAGAAAACAAAAATGAAAACATGTATTTATTGAAAAACTCAGATCATAGACATTTCATGGATTTCATCACCATTGTCATTATACTGCTGATATATCTTTTAAGGAAATTTATAAGATGTTCAATTTTGTTTATGTTCTATATTGTAAAAGCTGGTATAGAACATATTCTTGAATCATAAAAAACTGAGTAATGTCAAAATTTAAGTCATTTGTAATATCGGTTTTACCTATAACTGATACTCAAAGTATTATGAAATAGCATTGCCATCTTGCATGATATTTTGATTCTGGATTGACATCAGACATTATTTCGGGGAAGGATACAAATTTTGACTAAAGTCTGAAGTGTTTCTTGATCCTGGGGCCTAATTGTTGTATATGGAGGTATTAAGTTTATATGGATCCTATCACTAATATTTGTTTAAGTGAGATTGTTATTGTTGTGTAAGATATGTTTTATATACTTTATTTTAGATATACACTGTAGGTGCTCAATTTATACATGAACATGTTTAAATTCGTCACGTGTTTGCTTTAATTGCTTGATAGAAATATTTACAAGCATGCACAGTAAAGATTATGTGAAGTGAAACTATCCCCATGTACCTTTTGAATGCCAATTTTTTTTTTCCCATAATGATATTTTTTTAAATTGTCTCACATTGCAGACAAAGGTTCTGATATTTGATTAATGAATTGATAAAAATTTGCTATTGTTATCATCTTTACATTTTGATATTTGTTAGGAATATTGAATGTTTTGTAATGATTCACATGGTATAGGTTTACATGCACGTACACGTATAATATTTGTCATGAAAGCATTTTTGCATTTTTTAAAAATTTCATTGATGAAATCAATATCTTTTAGAGAAAAAAAACACTGTATAAGACCATGCAAAATTAATTCCTTGGTTCTCAGGCCTTTTTTCAAGAAATATGATGAGGGAGGGAGGCATTTTTTTTTTTACTTTTTATTGCCCCCAAAACATGATGAGGCAGCTTTTTACATTGTACAAAACCTCAAAAATGATGAGGGAGGTGATTTGTTGTTTTTATTTTATTGATTTAGCAATAAAAAGGGTCAATGAGGCACCCTTGGAAGAGATGAGGGAGGGCCTGAGAACCAAGAAATTAATTTTTTTGGCCTAATGTAGTTTGTTATAATGCTACATTATCCTAGGTAATGGATGCAATGTAGAAGGGACTGGGGGAAGCATAATAAGACCATGTGAACCAAAGTGCACATTTGTTAATACATTTAAATGGTAACTTTGAAATTTGATGAAGATGCCTTTTGATGATAAATAATTTGTAAAATATTTTACAAACTAAAGCATTAAAGCAATTTTTAAAAAAAACTATTTATTCAGTTTTCCTGCATTTTTTCCTGTATTCTTTTAAACTAGAATTTTTAAGAAAATTTAAGAGTTTTAGGTTTTTAAAGAAAACAATTCTTAAATAATAGAATTATGTTTTATCACTAACAAAAACAATATATATTTTATTATGTATTTTCACTTTGAATTATGTTAAATGATTAAAACAATTTGATTGTCTCAATATTTATTACCAACACTATTTAAACAAACAGCCAATGTTTGTAGATCTCATGTTATTTTCTGTTATTTTGTGTCTACCATTTTTTTTTTATTTTTCACATGACATTGACTTTTTTGATCATGTTTGCACTTTTAAAAACAGTATTTTTGTAGATTTTTGTTGATATTCCAGACATTTAAGTGTGCATTAATGCATAATTGGATACATTCCATTTTTTTATGAGAAAAAAATACCGTTTTTCAAATGTTTAACCCAAGACATATCAATATGTGCACAGGTATATATTGCATTTTCAAATAAAGGTACCTGAATATTACTGAAATGTTTTGTTGGCATTAGAACTTAATGAACATACGATGGTGGTGATTATTGTGTAAAATTTGACCCCATCATAGCTACAGAACTGTAGAATTATGAGTTTATAGTTTAGTTTTTGACCATAACGCTACAGATCCAGTGATAAAAAGAATGTTCAATTCACAAAACAAGATTTTCTGCTTATGGTTGCTGAGAATTTCTCCATTTTCCAGCATTGGTTAATCACCTTTCATTTCCTAATTCTAGACACATTTGTAAGCTAAAATGAATATTTTAACCACCTTCCAACCCTCTATAGTCATCTATATAAAGACCAATAAACTCACTTGTTTTTAATCTTCAGCCATTTGACAAAAATCAAAACAAGTGATCATGAGTTTATTGGTCTATAGAGACAAATATAAAGGGTTGGGAGGAGAATTAACATACAGATTGGTTAAAGAATTTCTAAGCTTATGAAATGAAAGGTACAATGTAATTGATTGAGCATTGTTGGAAAATTGAGAAATTCTCACCAATTCTGCGTAGAAAATCTTGTGCTGTAAATTGCACATTATTTTTATAACAGTAATCAAAGACTAAATTAAATATAAAACCATAACGCAACAGTTCTGCAGCTAACCCTAGGTTAAAGAACCCAATATTAGAACACCGATTAAATTACAATTACTTTGACTTTTTCTTCAATTAAATTACTCCAAAAGTAATTAATTAAATTACAAATTACATTATTATTTTTTTGAATTTTTTTATACTGTAATTTTAAAAAATACATTCAGGGTTTCCAGGATAATTCTCGATTTAAGTCAGAAATATGAAACAATCTTTTAAAGGTAAAAGAGTTTGAACATTTTTACTCTCCAAAATTTTTGTGCAAGGAAATAATTATCCCCATGCATTGGCTTTGTCATCTAAATCAAGAGGGGTTGATTTGTTTTGATTGTAATTTACAGGTGTTCAGAGGACACACACATTCCTTTTTTTTTCTTGACACACTATCAGCAAAAAGCATAACTTGTCAAGCTTGAGATAAACATGCAACTTGACCTTCTATGGAAAGTCATTGGAATCATTCGTTTAAACCAACTTATTTAGTGCCCTTTTATCATGTTAGTGTTGTTGCTGTGGTCAAGAAGAAGTTGTGAACACGCAATTACATTGTTTTTTATTCAGCTTATAGGCTTACTGGTATCTAATTATGGTTCGTAATGAAATATATGAAGATAACAAACAGTATTCAAGCTCAAAAGTCAATTTAACAATACTAAATAGGAGCAGATCTAGAGCGTACACAGACCTCCGAAACATTAGGGTTTCAGGTGCCATGGAGGAGTGAGCATCCCCTGCAGACCAGTCACACCCTTAAATTATTTACCTCGTGGTAGAAATTGTACATACGAAAAATAAAGCATGCTCTTGCGTATCGAATCAACTGAGAGATATATAATCGATCTGATACATTTAATCGAATCTGACAAAGTGCCAACGTCTTCTTTTTCATATATTGCCCATCGCTTGGCGTAATCTTCTACAAAGTCCAAAATATTAATGAAATTCCGATGCCACTTGAAGGATCGGGGATCCCATATTTTATCCTCATTATTAACTACCGGTATATTAACGTCACCTTTAATAACGTGTCCAGCAGGAATATAGTTATAGGATGAAGAAGAACATGAAAGCGATGGAGGATTATGTTTCAGATATGATAACCATGCAGGCCCTGTAAAGTTTTCTTGTAATTAAAAAGTTTAGAAGTAATAGTCGATGTATAGGGTATACAAGAGGTAGTCTTTAACTTGAAAAATGGTTGAATACAAGATTGGACCCTTTTTTATAATTAAGAATATATTACTAAATATTAACCGCGTCAATTCTTTTATTGAAGTTTAAGGAAAAGATGGACTATTTTAGCTGCATTTTCTTCAGTAACATCACCCGCGTGGTTCAGTGATTGGTATGTCTGCTCTAGAGTCGCTAAGTAACGAGTGATCCTTAAGTAGCGGATTCGAATCCCACTGTGGTCGTGGAGACCTGTCCTTCAGACAAGACCGTAAAATCCTAGGTCCCGTGTCGCTGTAGGTGCTGGCACATAAAAGATCCCTCCCTGCTCAATGGCCCTGAGTGCCGAGTATAGGACAAAACTTGCAGCTCTCCACCGGCAAGTGGTGGCGTCTCCATATGAATGACAAATTCTCGAGCGGGACATTAAACAATATACAGTACAATCAATCAAACTTCAGTAAAACGTGGGGGTTTAAAAAGCCATTGATTTGCAATATCCGTAATCACAGATTCGATCCTATATTCTGGTGTCGTGGAATCAAAAATAGTCTTTCCTTGATCTTTTCAAGAAGCCTATTCAAAACTTTCAAAGGGACAGAGTAAAGTTTGGTGCGAATGTGATGTAGACCTAAATGTTGATTAACATGCAATGAATCAAAAGAGACATCGTGTATTAAAGGTTTTTTGTATAACCGATGCCCATGACTATGCTAACGTCTCTATATATGATTAAAAAGCACCATCACATTTACATTGGTCGGTCACGGTAGCTTAGTGTTAGAGCGTACGCTTCGTGATTAAGGGGCCCGGGTTCGATTCTTGTTCGCGACAACGCGTCAAATCCAAGACATAAACATAGGTAGTGACTGTTCCTTCGCTACGAGCTCGGGATTAGAAGTGAAAGTCACGGGTATTTTGGGTATGACCTTTAAGGCAAAGGTCCCGTATCACGGTAGGCGTTGGCACGATAAAGAACCCTCACTGCTAAATGGCCCTAAGTGCCGAGAATACTAGTAGGTCTTAATTAGAAGCGCTTCACCGGCTTTCGGTGACATCTCTGTTTCTCGAATGGGACGTTAAACAATAATTAATCAATCAATCCATTCATTTCACATTTTATATTGTTTCCAAGTTTTCGAACACTATTGACATTGACATTATATCCATAGAGAAAGGCTATCCCAATTTTTCTAATCAAAAATCTTCTCGTTATCAAAGGAAAGGTGTACTCAGTGAAGGACTATTGGTAGGGTGGTAAATCTTTTCTAGAATTCTAACTTCTGACAAAATTCTAACATTGACAAAATAAAATGATCAGGTAAGTTAAAATGCCTGTATAAAAGCTCTTGGTCCCCATTATTTATTTGAAATTTATGACCTGATATCCTTTTATTAAGTGATCCCTTGGTTTCACCAACATAAACAAGACCACAAAGATTACATTCTGTTCCGTAGACAACATTAGAAGATTTGCAGTTTGAGATTTTCCCAAGTTTGGGTATCAGAGCTCCTTCTACTAAGATTACTGGTGAAAGAAGGGATAGTTATCGAAATGTCACAGATTTTACAGTTTTTCGCAGCACATTTTGAAATAGAACACATGGGATTCAAAAAAGAATCTTCAAATATATCTCTTATAGAAACCTAGCTTGCATTCTTTCAATTTTTTGTATGATTTTTTGTTTTTATACCAAAACAGGGAATCTAAAGACTTTACATATGTTTCATATCCATCAGGATTATCCTAGGGACACCATTTTAATGAACAAATGAATATACGATTCGTAAATTAACTGCACTTGCATCTATAAATGCTACATCGATATAGCTTTCACTATTGGTTGTACATTTGTGAACAGGAAGGGTTATGTCTTAAACTTTGTTGTTGGTATCCATTGTTTACTTTGTATCTTGAAAATTATTTTCTAGCTAGAAATCGAACATCTAAAATATAATCTTTTAATTATAACGAGTTTATGTTCTTCGCCTTACAATTATTGTCTTGCTGGACTTATCCTTTCTGGTGAGGTAAATTAATTAATAACAAGGGCCTACATGTAAATTACAAGTTTATTTTACAAGAGCCAAAATTTAGGAAATCGCCATCTTCAAACCGGCGTCAATATTTCATAAATAATGAATTTTGTGGAAAATTACACAAAGTGATAGACAAAACATGAAAAAAGACATTTTTTTTATTTGACACTATAGCTAGTATCGGGTAGATTTAAAATCTCGCATTTAGCGACAGGAGACAATATGAAAACAATGTATCTTTCTGTCTTCAGTAATTCAGAAGTAAAAAAAAAAGTAGACCGAATATACAATCAGTGTTTCCTGGCCCAAGGTGATTTTGATTGCAATACTCATTATTTTAATTGTATTTTAGAGGAACTTGGATTTATTTATTTATAAGTAGTGATACAATTCATACCTACACCCCCTTTCTAAGGAAATTCTTCAAAATCACATGCTAGTTTTAAATATTTTTAATATTCTCAACAATCAAAATCAATTTAAATTACCATATATACTACTGGATTCCTTAATTTCATAAAAATCCGTAAAGGCAGAGATACCAAGCGGGTTCCATTAAATGTTCTATCAAGTCTCTGCATGTTTACTCCTCACTTACGTTACGGCAATAAAAGAGAAACTTGAGGATTACTTGCAACAATACACTAGTATACTTGAGAAATCAGATATGGTTGCTTAAAAACTACAGGGTTTTTTTTTAAAGAAAGTTTTAAATCACAAAATCGTATGAAAACATCAAAACATACGACTTTTCAATACTTTATACCACCATTTCTCACCATACACAAAGTCTAGGCTTTTTCGCATCACAAACAGCAGTTACTCTCTTCCCTCCTCGTAAACTTCCTTAATATTTTGTTAAAAAGCACTCTGATTGTACTTACACAAACTTTAAAGTTGATATTAAAAAGAGATACTCGTGTTTCAGATTGACAATTATATCTATTTTGTCTTTGGATAATCAGATCCTCAAAGATTTTGACGGAATTCCAATGGCGTTTGTTATTTGCAGACCTTTATTTGTATTCATATGTAGCAGATTATATTTTTGAACGTCATGATAAGGAAACATTTGCTTCGGCCTTCAACTCGACTTTTATTGATTAACTGAGGACGCACGATGAATTATCAATAAAAATATAATTGCATTTGATATATATCGACTTGATATATTCCAGTTGATATCTTGCGATTAAATCATCTGGGAGTCTTATCCCCAAATGCAGGTAATAGAGGCATTTTGCTACATGAATGAATGGGAATTGACGATAGGAAAGTTTACAGCATCACATTTATCATGATAAAGTTTTGTTCTTAGGTTATAATCAACCAGTCGTCAATATATCTTAATGTCCAATTAAGGGCAACTCTAAATGTTTTCTTTCTCTGGTGCCTAAGTTTTTGAATAAATTCTGCTTCATATGACAAAAAAAAATGTACTAGAAAAAGATGTAAATGGTATCTAACAACAAAGCTTTATGATAAACGTGATGGCTTTAACTTTGCAATCGTCAACTTCCCTCACTTATTCAGCAATATACCTTTGTCACTTGTATTCGTGGTTTATATCTCCCATGCAATTGATTCGATAAGGAATAGCATGTTCTACGAAGAACAATTTCTAAAAAAAGAGAGAGAGCTAGGTAAGTTATTGACAAAAAAGTTGATGGAGCAAGAATATAAGCTGTCTATTTTAAAGTCATGATTCGGTAAGTTCTATGGTCGATACAATGACCTTGTCAGCATTTACAATTTATCATTTTAAAGTTGAATACTGGCTGAACTTCTTTATAATTATTGTTAGGCCATTATTTACACACTGAGTTGTCCACGGATTTCTCCGTTTATTTCCGATCATGACAAGGACCATACGGCGGGTGTGACCGGTTGGCAGGAGATGTTCACTCCTCCATGGCACCCGATCCCATTTTTGATGTTTTGGAGGTCCGTGTTTTCTCCGCTCCGATTTAGTAATGTTAAATGTACTTATGAGCTTGAATAGTGTTCGTTATCTTTATATATTTCATGAAAAGAAAGAAAGGTTTTTCTAAAAATGGAGTGCTGTTGGTAACTTTGAATGTCGTCCATTTCGGTTAAAAACTCTCCACATGCCTTATTATATAGGTATATGTAAAAGTGAAGGACATCCCGAAAGACTACAGCAGATTATATAATCCGGGCTTTTTAAAGTCCTGGGTGATAAAAGATAAACCCACAAACCTACACCTTACCAGGTTTGCATAGCTTCAGTAAATTGGGTTATCTACTCCAAGTCCCTAGACAATTCTGTATCAGGCCATGAGTATTTTTGTGTACGGTTCCTATATATTTACTAGTTCTGGTACCTTTCAAGGTCAAGAAGCTAAATCTTAATTTTCTTGATTTATTTATCAAAATAATCTGTATACATTTCATTGGTTGTTGATCTTTGTTAGATCAGAAACTAAATGATGGTACTAACTGACCATTACTGGGAACTAGATCTGCAGACATTTTCGTGTTCAGTGCAAGTGGTTATGTATGTCGTAAATCCTGGGGACGCCGAATAACGTTACGTCTATAACGTCATGAATGCCATACTATGACGTCAATCCGGACGTCAAACAATTGCTTCAGAAAAAAGCGTCAAATTGGTTATAAAACGAGCACCTGTATAACCAAGGTAATAGGAGCACCTGTTTAACCAAGGTAATAGGATGTTCCTTGTTGTCTTGGAAAATGCATGTTATATATTTATGCTATATTAACTTATACATTTTTTATACCAATAATTTTTTTAATTGGCGTAAAATAAAATTAAAAAATATTCATGCCTGTAGCTAGCATACTCAAGATAAGTCTTCTAACCTGAGGTCACAATTCAACGTCAACGTAACAAAATGACGTCATATAAAGACCAGTACATATACAAAAATAAAGACCTATACTTCTTTCAAAATTTAGATAAGACTGTGTTTAATTACACAAAAGATAAATGGCAAATAAAAGAAAAAGTAAATAACTTTTTGGAAAAAATTTTTGTCGGTCGTTGACACAGTAAACCATTTTTGTTTTCCGAAAGGGTTAAACAACTGTCAGTCAGGGAAGGAGGAGCTAAATGCAAAAGAGACAAGTGCGGATACAACTTCACACACACTGTACGCATCAAGCAGCTGTTTCATGCACCATTTTTTTGAAAGAATTGTTCAAAATCCACTCAAAACTTTCATCAATATTTTCTACACAAAATTAGATACTGGAAACATGAAATATAACTCCTTTCAAAATGATTTGTTTTTAGTCATTTCAAATTATCTATGCACTATAGTGGCATATTTCTGCCCCCTATATGCAAGATAAATTATTTTAACATGCAACATAATTATGTAGACATGCAACATATTTATGTCAACATGCAAAATAATTATGTTGACATGCAAGTTACAAATCTTATAAGAAAATATAATTTAAATATGATGAAATTTACTTTTAACGCCCGTATCTAACATTGTAGATCTTAGCAAGATGCAAGATAATTATGTAGACAGTGACTTATTTATGTCAACATGCAAGATAATTATGTCAACATGTGACTTATTTATGTCAACATGCAAGATAATTATGTAGACATGCAAGATATTTATGTTGATATGCAACTTATTATCTTGCATGTTGACATAAATATTTTTATGTAAAAGTATAACTCACATGTTCACATAAATAAGTGGCATGCTGACATAAATAAGTAGCATGTTAATATAATTATCTTTCATGTGAACGTGAATATCTTGCATGTCTACATAATTATCTTGCATATCAACATAAGTATCTTGCATGTTAACATAAATTTCTTCCATGTCTACATAATTATCTCGCATGTCAACATAATTAAGTAACCCGCATCTTGTCATAATTATGTTGCGTCTTACATCTTCGACGTCAGATTCAAGCGTCAGTACTGGATTTTACCCATTTTAAAATCAGATTCTCTTTGAAGATTTGTAACTTGCATGTCAACATAATTATCTTGCATGTTGACATAATTTTCTTGCATGTTGACATAATTTTCTTGCATGTTAACATAATTTATCTTGCATGTAGGGGGCAGAAATATGCCACCATACTATGCCCAATATCAAAAAGATGTATGCAGGCTTCTAAAAATTATTCGCATTTTATTTTCAGTGTTTCTTTTCTATTGACGAATGAGTAGACATGTACTTGTACTAAATAAGCCTTGTAAACATGAGAGCTGAAGGATTTTCTGCTGATAAACTATAATATGGCAGGGGAATGGGGACAGTTAGACACTTAATATCACGATATGATAAGCGATCTGAGAGCCATATCTTCTCCCTGCTGTACTGCCATCATGTTGTTTGCGGTAATTTTTCTTCTAAGTGTCACCAGTGCTCAAGGTTCGATCACTTGTTTTTTTATGTTTCTTTGAAGATGTGATGCAAAAGAAGCATTAATTAATTGTCTTTAATTTCTCCTGAGGGAAGTTTACAAAAAGTGTAAACCAAGACCGCCATTTGATGCCTATGTAATGTTACGTCTGTTTTATGATGCGCTGACGAGCTTTTGCCGTTAAAATTTGTTTAATGATAGTTCCAATTTTTTTTAAAATCTGGGAAATAATATTAAGTCCATTGTCCTTGTTGGCTCATTATACATGTAGTTACATAATCCTAATATTGATTTCCTTTTCTTTCTTTTCATGCACTTCCAATAAAATATTATCATTATCAAGGGAAATTTCTTACTTACGTTCTACGGGAAAGATTTAATGATGAATCCACCAAAAGATATAAAACTTTACGTGGATTATGATATAAGAGAAACTTGAATTCCATCGTGCAAAGGAACTACGTTTTACAATTAGACTTTTTGGCTATTGGAAAAAAGTACTTGACTATTGGATCGTGCGTTTAAGGTTGTTTAAAAACTAAGGTATGCAATATATTTTTAACAAATCAAGACATTCATTCATGGAAACTCATAAAAATTTGTAAGGTGGATCATCAGCTTAAGAAATTTTCATTTGAAATAAGTAATATAATATATTATGTTTTTTGACTCCTTATATCTAACAATAACTTCAGAAAACGATTATGTTTTTTAATCACAGTTAATTTTGAATGCAGGTAGAAAACAATCGGCCCTTCATTTCTTTAAGTGTAACACAAGAATGAAATATATGAAGATAACGAGCAGTGTTCACCTTCAAAGTCCATAAAACAATACAAAATAGGAGCAGACCAAACACGTACAACAAAAACTACACAGGTGGGATCAGGTGCTATTTAGGATAGAGCATCCCCTGTGGAAAGGTCACAAAGTATTGACATCGACATTAAAAAATGCACGAATAATTTTTTTTATTTATCAAACTTATCCTTTGATATGTTTTTCAGGCGGTTGGTATGACAGATATGTCAAGTTTTTCAACGAGACCTTGCCGAACAATAGTACACTTATGGAGCAGTGGAGAACTCATTTAAAATTATGGCACGAAAATGTGAGGACATTTCTTCTTTAAATATAATTTTCATAAGCATGACGACAGCTTAAAATATATTAAGCATAATATAAAAATTGGTCTGGCCGCGTATTCAATTATATTGAAACAAAACTGAAGTTAAGCTGCATGTATGGAGACTTGGATCCAATATTATAAGTTGACTTCAGATAAGCTAACGATAGAATATTTCCATTGGTATCAAATACCACTTGTCATTAAAGAATTATTCATCCATAATGAAGCTGTATATCTGGGACTCATTTTTATTAATTTTGTTTCAAACACATTGTTAAAATATTCTGGAGAGCATCGAAAAACATACACAATGTTTCCCCCTAAATTGTAGGGCAGTCGCAGTAAAAGATATCCAATTCCAAGCTTTGAGTGTCATAACACCCACCCACACAATGGCCATCATGCAACAAGTGGTAAGTTTGTATGTTAAAATAGTAAGATATTTCATGTGAGAAAAAGTACTGTAAACCAAATATTATTAATTTTATCCTTTATTCGCGATTCCCAAGTTCGTTCGACGATTAATTCTCTCGACTGAGAAAATATGAATACAAAGCTGAATAAATGATTCGCGGCGATTAATATTTGCAAGTTAAAGTAAGTCGCGAAACTCGCGAATATTTGTCGCTTGCAAATAAAAGTTGGTTTACAGTACTATTTTATAGAACGTTTATACCAAATTATCAAAATTAGTTTGAAAATTAAACTTTAAATTACATTTTTCAGTTCGCTATATATCCTTTCTGGGAAATGACAGCGAAATTTAATGCTACGACTTTCATTTAATGAAAGTAGTGCATATATTTTTGATAGATTTTTTAAATTGATTTTAAGTTCATGATCTTCATCCCGGAGACGTTCGTATCATTGCTGCCATGGGAGATTCCCTTACGGTAAGAAATAAATTTAATTTCATTTAATAATTGAATTAATTACTTGAATAATAAGTACCTACTTAAGAAAATTTTTATCCGGAGAAGTTATATACCTTATTTTAGAATGCTTAATAAAATTGAATCCTAAAGACAAACTTTTATCATTTAGCATACATTGTATATTGCTGATTTTCCAACACTTCATATAATATGTATAAGTGGTATATAAAACTACACGTTTTGTACTGTACCCTACTTTTGAAAGTGATCATGCCTTTGAACTCAAGTACAGTGTAGATGTTAAATAGATTACCAAGGAATATGAAAAGATTCTTTGAATCTAATGTATTATCAATCTTCACTTATTTTCTGTATCTTGAAAACTGAAATTACACAATTTCTTCACTAACATCATCTTATGAAAAATATAGATACTTTATCTTTTTTGCTTTTATTTTTTTTTAAATGTCAAGGCTGGTAATGGTATTCTTGCGTCCAACATCATTGGAGATTTCATTGAATACAGAGGTCAAGTTTGGAGGTAAATAGCGATTATTCATAAATGATAAAAGGCTATTAATATCCTCAATTAAATAAAACCTTAACCTTTTAATGTAAATATATTTCGCCTATATATCCTAAGTTTTCAAAATGATTTTCTCCCAAAGCATTGGTGGTGATGGAGACCTTAGCAACACCATTACATTACCAAGTAAGTCAAATAATTCAAAAACGTTAACATACTAAAATTTATATTTTTTGTTAAATAAAATGGAATTATTCTTTAGAATTTGATCGATGTTTCTTATCTTTATTATCATGTTATAAATTTTGAATTTACTAGGGGGAGGTAAATGCAAAATTTACAACATGATCATAGTTAATTATCATGTTGTAAATTTTGCATTTACCCCCCGGTAGTAAATTCAAAATTTACAACATGATACTATATATACAGATATTCTGGAGAAATTTGGTCAGTTCCTATGGGGTCAATCCTATGGGACCGGAGGAGTGGGGACTACGAACTCCATGCTGAACTACGCTGATCCCGGTGATGTGTCCGCGTACGTCTTTATTATTTTAAAGATTTTTTTCTTTATACGCTCTGTTTTTAAGGACAATTTCTGTTTATCATGTACAAAATCGCTAGCTAGCAAACGTAACGCATACTAAAACAAAAGGTTTGTACGCTCTTTTTCACCCCAAAATCAAAAATTTACATGATACTTTTAATGCTTTTATCTTTGCTAAAAGACAAATACGCATGTCTGAAATCTCACGATTGAATGTAGAACAATGGTTTTGCAACGAAGAAATCACGATTTTACAACTTTTTATAGAAATATGCCCGGTCAAGCTAATGCGTTGGTACAAAGACTGAGGACGGACACGCACGTGCGATTTAATGACGATTGGAAAGTACTGACGTTGTTTATCGGCGGAAATGATCTTTGCGATTATTGTCACGACCAGGTACTTCTAAAAAGCTTCTGCATTATTATGTTAGTGATTTATAAATGGATATTTAACGAAAATTTTGTATGCTCAGAGGACATGCATACGAATTTCTTGTCTAATAGTGCATTTGCCATCAGCACATAGTATGGGTTTTGAAAGTTGGGGAATTTGATGAAAAGTTTGGTGAGGTGTGAAAGCAAACAAAGAAAAATACAACTTTCCTGAAAGGTCTTTGATAAGCAAAAACAAAAGGGCCGAGACGGGTTGTCAAGTACATTGCCATTACTGTACTTGCGGTCTGAGTCAATGGTTAGAATGGAGAAAAGAACCTACTATATATATTTTACAGACAATTGACTAATACTTGTAGATTGTTTCATTTCTATGTGAAAATATTTTCAAATATTTATAAAACTAAATTTTGTAACAGGCTGGCTACTCAGCTGCCAACTACATCAAACACATTCGGGATGCCTTGGATATTTTACATCGGGAGGTTCCGAAAATGTTCGTTAACCTGGTAGAGATATTTGACATTGCTCCCATTGCAGCCATGGATGGCGGGTTCATTTGCAATCTCGTCCACAAGTACGAAACCACGAATGTTTATTTCTCTTACACTTTTTTTTAAAATACCCGGTATTTATAAATCCTATCAAATGTCAAAAAAGTAGCTAGTGTAATTCAATCCAAGGGTTGAAGCATTGATTCTATTTGCTAACAGTGTTGTGTGTGACTGCGGCCATAACAAAGCTAACTCTCAGATGTTAAGAAATGCGGCCATTGCTTATCAACAGGAACTCCGGAATCTGGTCAACTCAGGACGATACGATACACGGGATGATTTCACTGTCGTCCTTCAGCCCTTCTTTAAGAACACTGAACCACCAACCTTAGTAAGGATTTTATAAATAATTCAATGCTTTACTTAGCATTTCTATTTTTTCCTGCAATATATAGACTTAAGTTTAGCCATACTTTCAGTGACCAATTTTAATACGTAGTAACATACATAATTTGAAATCTAAAACGTCTGCTGAGGTAAACTTATGCTTTACAGTTCAAATTCAAATAGCATAATATTTCTTGGGAGTTACATGTAGTCTTAAACTTGACATAAACATTAATAAACCCTTTACTTCACTTACACTTTACCAGGGTACCGGTTCCATTGACTTGAGTTTCTTCTCTCCTGACTGTTTCCACTTCAGCCAAAAGGGACAGTTTGCTGCCGGACTCTCACTCTGGAATAACATGGTAATATTTTGTAAAGTTAAGCCTGTACAAAACTAAAGCTTTGGCTTGTATAAGAAGCCACTAATGCCAATGATTTTATTTTGTCAGTTGGAAGCACCCAACTTTAAACAAGAACAGTGGCATCTGTATGGTGACTTCCATTGCCCGGGAACACATGTAAGTTTTCTTAAATTTTCACAGTTTAAAGGGATACTAACTCCTCCAATGCACCTAATCCCACCTCTACATTTTGTAGCGGTTCATGTTTTATACCCGAATTGTTTATAGAGTTTTTTCATTCATTAATTACAAAACTATGAAGATCTTTCCTTCTTCACATTTAGAATTATATTTAGTTCAAATCACGGATACTTTTTTTTATAGTGGACTGTATTTCTAATGGTGATGTTACATTTGAAGCTGTATTCTTTTGCAGGCTGGCCACGACCACTCTTTCTTCACAACCTACAAAAATTAAGATTTTTTTTCTGTGAAAAAGGTGAATTGTTAATATTTAAGGAAATAAACATAATGTAACATGTATATATTGAAGACATACTTTTGTTTTTATCATGGTGAAATATTACTATATTTTTTGATAAATTGATGTAAACATACAACATAGTTTAATTGTTTATGTAAAATGATGAGTTATATCCTTTTTTTAATAATTACTTTTGTGCCATTATTCCATCTGTCTGTCCAAGTCTATCCATTAAGAATAATATAACATATTTACTTCGTGGGTCTCTCAATACCTTGAAAACAACAAAAATTAACCCACCCACCCCTGAAAATGTCATTTTTTTGTACATTTTTAAGTAATATACACAGCAAATTTAATAAAATAACCATAAATATATGAGTTTACACTAATAAAGGCTTCGTTTTGGAGAGTTAGCAATTTAACATTTACAATGAACCTCCAATGAGATAATTAGTTAAATAAAAAGCAAATTTTGATTTAACGACTTTGGATCCTGATATTTAAAGTCAAACTTTTTTTCTCAAGTATATTTTTAGTTTCTACACACATAGCTTAGTTAAAAATCAAATCCAAAAATGGGGGTCAATATGCTTCTTTTGGCGCTACAGTACGTTAATTATGACCTTTTTGCACTGAAATTTGTGTCTTGATAAAAAATTACATCTTTGACGTACGTTTTCCCTCAAATATTTTTATACAATTAAAGCATGGAACAAAATAAACTGTGAGTCTATTGTAAAAAAGACACTTAACTTGTGACTAAGGAGAAGTTTCCAATTGCCTCGCATAATTAATTATTTGACCTTTCTGCACTCACAAAACGTGATTTTTCTGGCATTGAATTTTTATAAAGCAAGAAAATTATTTTAAAGTCTTAAACTTTTACTGAATTTAAGCAGAGAGTCAAAGTTATCTTAAATATTCAGAAAAGAACACCAAAATTGGGGGGTATATGACATAATTTTTTAAATATTACTAAAAACGTGTCAATTTACGTTAAATTTGGCTCAATTTCCCCCCAGATTTTCAGAATGTATTTACATATATTTGTCAAACTTCGTTGAAAGAATTCATAAGAAATAATTTTATAGATATTTCAGAACCAGTATAAAAGGTTTCACTGCAAAAAACAGCTTTGTGTGCAACCGGCATGGAAAAATAGGAATCTAAAATTAACAAAATTTTATTTTAATAAGTTCATGATTTAAGGGGAAAAACTGATCATTTTCTTCTAAAAAAAACCTTCCGCCTCAAAATGTAGTTCCTAGCTTAAATCTACTTGAATGGAATTTAATCGCGGTTTTTTCATTGAATATGGTTCAATTTGCATTGTAGAATTCAGATTTTATGTTTACTTAGAACTTAAAAATGATAAAGAATTTTGTAAATATAGGACAGGACCAAAATCTGATCAAAAGCTCAGGATCGAACGTCCTTAAATTCATGATTTATAGAAGGGTTTTTACACTGAAAGTGCATCTCCTTTAAAAAATTCCTCGTGCATATTTCAAGCTTTCCCTCTGTATGTACTGTACATATTGGTAATTTGCGATTTTTTTTTTCAATAAATGTTAATTCATATGTAAAGTACATGCATAAGTTGCATTTGGACCCAGTGGCACATCGGTCCGTTTGTGTTGTCTCTTAAATGACATTTCGACCTATGCAAAATTCTTCTCAGAAAAAATGTGAATTTCTAAATTACGATTAAGATAAACGTTTTTCTTTAAAACATATAATTTTTATCTAAAAACTTAAACATGCAAAACTTAAACTTCCTTTAGGGATACATGGATCACATGACATTATAAAAGGATACATTCAGGGTTCTGCATCAAAACCCGAAGATCGTGGAATAAATTTAAAAAAAAAAAACCTTTCAAAATGGATACTTCCACAAGGACAGTAAATAAATCACATGAAATCTCCAAGGTGCATGTCTAGGAAAGATCAAAAGCCAATAGGAAGAAGTCATTACTGCTTGTCATAACGATGAGTGTTTGTTATAATCAGTTACCATGAGATTGATTGCCGTATATTTCTTGACAATATCAAGTGGAATAAATTACATTACAATTACAAAATGCAGTTGATATAAGTTGAATATATGTTAATTAAAAAAAGTAAGTTCTGATAATGTTGAAATACTCACATGTGAAACAAAGAGACGTAATTGCTGTAATCCTAAGTTGAAAATATAAAAATGTATGTTTAATTGGTGATTTACACCCACAGTGTTGCCAATTTTTTCCCGAACACATCTTTACTTAAGTATCTGTCACAAGGGGTTTGGATATCTAGCAAAAAATCTAGTCTAGTCAATTTTTCAATAATTCTTCTCACACTTACATATTTAATTCCCGCATATATCCTTTCATTATTATGACCACGTAGATATTTTATTTAGTGTAAAAAGTCAAAAGGAAGATTGAAATTGATTTTTTAATGCAGCAACTTTAAAGTTCATCATACCATTATGATTCAATGTTTTTGGAGTCATAACAAAAAAAAAAATCTTACGAATATATGCTACCCAGACATGAACGAATTTTTTTTTTCAATAATGCAGAAAAGTCTTGAAATCGAAACCTTGTTGTGCAGCAGTTGTCATTTCATCAAGTTCAGCTTACGATTATTCAATATTCTTTGAAGTCTTATCACCAGGATAACATTTGTACATGAACCGTATGAATACAAAAATTAATATTCTTTTTTTTTTTTTTAAGAAATCGAACTTCTATTTATGCAGCCTTAAATACAATTGCTTATTAGCAAGATATGAAATTTAAAGTAATTTGTCTTGCCATGATAGCATTAGCTTTTTACGTCATGCATTGCATAAAACGGACAGTTCCCGCAAGTGACTCGATATGTCTATTATTTTAATCTTAAAATATATCTGTTGATCACTTTTGATAAGAGAAAGTGCAAAGCTAATGCTTTTATACACATTTTTGAGATTTGATTATTTTCTTTTTATGCATGCAATTCGATAAACTATACATTTAAAGAAATATCATGGAGAAATTCACATTACCTTGAGGATTTACAAACATTTTTGTTGAATATTCTTAATTTACTGCTGCTTTTTAGATACTGCGGATCAATCTATCTTAATTCAATAGGCACTCTACGTTTCATTATTAAAAAAAAAGAATTTTTCCCGATTTAGCCAAAATAACATGAAATCTTAAGAGGATTGATATAAAGAGTTAATTTAAAGAAGGAAGGCATGAAACATACTGAGCTGTAAAATTACTTTTGCTGCTAAACTCTCTTGGCAGGACCTCATAATGAGTAAATCGTCAATCCTTTCCAAAAGTGAAACGTGCAGAGAAATTCAATAGCAAACATGATACCCAGTGGAAATAAACAAGTAAAATCTTTTTTGCTTATTGAATTACATTTGGGCTAGCGCAGATAATTACATATTATGACCTACTGAATTGACGCAAGTCTTTCTTATTTTCTCACTCTGTCACGTTTTTATCTCCCTATTTCAAAGTTTATTCCCTTTCCTTGCCTGATTTAATCAAAAAATTCTGACTAACTACAATCATATTTTGTATGAACAAAAACAAAATTTTACATTTGATATCATTATGCTATATCTTTTCGTGGAAAATAAGAGGAAAAGAACCTTTATTTATAATTTAAATAAAAATCAATACTTCAGACATTCTCTTGAATATTGAATAAGGTAAGAGACGTGAACATTATATAGAATAATAATGGAATATTTCTACCTAGGAAAAATAGTTTGACGTTGAACGGAAGTCTTGTTAGTTATAATATTCAACCCTTATACCCAAGTCAGTAAAACATCCAAATATGAAACAGATGTGGCAGACTCCGTAGGGTCTTTATTTTGAATTCACTTGGTTTTACCAAACAGACATATGAATGAAACTATTATTTATAGTAAAAAGATGTCGATTTAGCTAAATGTCGAACGTCAGGTGTTTTGTTTTGTCTTTAGACGTTTTATTATTGCTTCATTAGAATATGTAAACCAAACGACTAATGATGAGACACAATAAGTACCCAAGTAGAATTTCAACACGTCTGAAGACTTTATATTGAATGGTGTGAAGAATTCATCAATCCTTTCCATTTCAATACATTGTATCAGAGTATTTTTGTGAAAAATCAGAATGATTTTAACAAATTTTGCTAATAATTGATCATATAAACAAAACTTTCCAAGTTCCATTTTTATTATAAAATCGGTCATGTATAACAACCCCAAAGATTATGTTTTAATCTTTTTTTGGGGGGGGGGATGATTTTATATTTTTGAGGAAAAGTCGTATGCTTATTATTATTAACTTTAGAAAATAAATGTGATTTTGTTCTTTTAGAAAAAAAGTTCTTCAGAGTTTTTGAGAATCCACATCTGAAATTTTGTTCCTGTAGTCTTTTTTTATTCTTCTAATACCTTCTATTAAGCAAAAATTACTTCGTTTCTGACTGGACCCACAGGGACTCTGAAGTTGATATCAAAAGGATAATTGAGTTTTTTAGCGATACATTTATGTAGTCTTCGGAGACCTAGTCTTTTAAAAACTGTTGGAATTTCTATAAGCACTTATTGCACCTCTTATAAGCTTATAACTTGTTGTTATAAAACTATCAAAGCAGAATTTATTCAAAACTTAAAAATGAGTAATATTCATATTTATCTACCCTGTTTGATCAAAGAAAGATATTTTCATTCGTACGTCAACCATATATATAATCCAACTTGAAATAAAAGATATTACAGAGTCTGCCACATTTGTTTTCATATTTGGATGCTTTACTGGCTATAGGCGGTAAAGGCAAATTGATAACTAAATTATATAACAATAGAGGTGACTTCCTCTTCAATCGTCAACTTTCCTGATTTATATAGACAGTAATATTCCACTATATAACATCTGTTTATGGTGTTTATGTCTCCCTACCTATTCGATTCTTAAGAGTTTGCTCTGAGTACCACCAATTTTGAAGCGAAACAGGCAACTCATTGATAAGTTGACGATACAGAGATTTAATCAGTAAAGTTA